TGTTGGTGAATTTTTTTTTGTTGAAGGCCTTGAAAGCCTGATATGAATGTATAAAAATAAATATCCCGGTCGACCTCGCGACTATATATTTATTTAATGATTCGAGCTGTGTCGACTTCTATTTACTCACATAAAAGGATCGGGTTAAAACTTAAATTCACTTGTTGACCCGCGCAGCATTCCTAGACGTCGCATATGTATTCATAATGCGCTCGACCTTTGCGGGTGTATGATTGTGTATGGATTTGTGTATTTATGTATACAAATTGTAGTGCATGTGTGATGGAATTTTCATGAACATTTAGCATTGATCAACTATGCGAACAACCCGTCATTTGAATGCAACATTCTTATTTGTAAGCTCATACACGCCTTCTATCTACTTGTAGGGATATTGCAGAACCAGTGGTGTGGTATGTTGCGCTAATGTAGGTGGAGAAAACTGGTTTGAAGGAGGGGCCGGCGGGCCACAGGCCGTGGATTTGAGTTGTGGGAATTCAATAGAAAAGAGACGAATCGTGTGATTGTGCTTTATGAAGTTGGATGAGGAAGTGGCCTTGAGTAAGGATTTGGGGATCTGATTTCTGTAGAGTTTGAGAGGGGTGGAAGTGAGAGTTTCAGACATGCGTTTGATGCTTGCGGAAGGGAGATTGATATGAACAAGAACTGCTTGACAAGCAGGAGGGTGGAGGGATGTAAGGTCTTGCGAGGTGGGAGCTCGTGGATTTGGACGAAATAGGCAGGAGACGTGGGACAAAGTGCAAACGAGCTGGAGTTAGGGATGGAAGGGAGATTTCAGGTAGAGGACTCAGTTTAGTTCTCAAGTGCTTAAGACTATAAAATTTTGTTTAAGCTTTGGTTTAATGACGGAACATTGTGAAGGCCAGCTGTGATACGTGCAGATGAGTTGACGGGCGACGGGGGACTTCGACAAAACAAAGTAAATGTCATTAATGAGCATTAATGGGTCAGAATTTGTTTCTCTGTTTGGGAATTAAGTTTTGTTAAAATTTTATTAAATCAAAGGCTATATTGGTGATGTGTAGCTATTGCATTAATTCAAAATGATAGAAAATCCTTTAACAAGACCAAAATAGTCTCGATTTGCATGTAATTTTCTCATAATTTGTGTGTTTAGCTTGTAACTCATGCATATTGCCTTGTTTTGCGTGTCAATGTTTTCATAGAATTTACTTTGGGCAAATTGGTAGTGTATTTAGGGTGTTAACGATGTTTCGATCGTAATGACGAAGTCCGTTTTGCGATCATACGTCATCTGGTTGGCATCGAGTGCTAAATTTCTCTATCTATGCGTTGTCGCCTTGGGATTAGTGTTGACTTCCTTGCATGTCTCTAATTTGATCAAATTAAATGTCATTTTTGGGTATTTAGGACATTCTGAACACAATGGTGAAGTTCATTTCCCAATCGGACTTTGTTTGGACAACATCGAGGCCAATTTTCCTTGATATGCATGCCGTAACTTTCGAATCTATGCCACCACTATGGATGATCCAACTTTAATAAACAAAATGTAGTTTTTAGATGTTGACGACATTCCAGACGTAATGATGCTATTCGTTCGAAGATCGGACATCGTTTGAGTAGTGCCGTCCAATAAATTTCTCAATTTGTGCAATGCCGCTTTGGTATTCGTGCCACTAGCCTAAGCGATCCCATTTGGGTAAGTAAAATGTTGTTTTAAAATATTAGGGATATTTAGAGCACAGTGGTGTCTGTTTCATGATCGGAGGTCGTTTGGATAGTGTCGAGATCCCTTTTCCTCAATATACGTGTCATTGCCTCGAGAACATTGCCACCACCTTGGTCGATCCCAATTAATTAAATAAGATGTATATTTTAAATGTCGATGATGTTCCAGACGCAACGGCGAAGTCTGTTCTGTGATCGGATATCATTTGGGTGACACAAAGTGTAAAATTCCTCAATTTACGTGTTGTACCTCGAGATTTGTGTCACCACTTCCTGATCCTAATTAATCAAATAAGATGCATATTTTGAATGTCGACGACATTTTGGATGCAATAGTGAAGTCCGTTTTGGGATCGGATGTCGTTTGGGTGACTTTAAGCATCAATTATAAGTGCCAGTCATTTCTTTATACCGATCTCGTTCGATCTGACTGCGAGGGACCTCGACATGGAAGAACTTGATGGCCTGATCGCAACGGCGCTGTCTGTTTGGCAATTGGATGTTGTTTCACCTTTCAAGTGGTGTGCTTCGTCAGAGCGCATGCTGCTAGATTCATCGATTTCGCTTCCTTTGCGTGTGGTTCATCGTATAGGGTCAATAACAGTCCTATAAGTAGGTTGCAACAAATGTCGTGGGTGGTGAACGTTCAACATACGTGACTTGGTAATAGTACGCCTTCACAAAGGCAAATTTTCAAGTGTAACTTATTCAAAACTAAAGCTATGGATGTTCGGGCCATTCCCATTGTTAAGTGCATTAGTGACAATACACATATTATTTGATGCAAGCAAGGTTGTCCCGGTTCCCTTTTGCTGGTTGTTCGGTTCCTGCATGGCTTTCCCGGTTCCTTGCTTTGGGTTGTTCAGTTCCTACTCCTTGTTGTCCCGGTTCCCTTTGCTTTGGGCTGTTCGGTTCCTGCTCCCTGCTGTCTCAGTTCTCCATGCTTTGGGCTGTTTGGTTCCTGCTTCCGGCTTGGTTGTTCGGTTCCTCTACCTAGGTCCCTCTGTTCTTGTTTCTGTCCCAGTTCCATGTTGTGGTGGTTCATTTTATGGGAGCCTTAAATGCTGCCTTTTGGTTGGTTGTATGGGCGGCTGATCATGGCTGTTGGCCTCCCTTTTCTATCCTATTTATAGGGGTTGCTTAGGAGAGTTTTGAGGATGGATTATGGATGATTTTTGGAGCAAGAAAACCTGAGGTTTCTTCTTTGATAGCTTGCAAGCTATGTCCCCCTTTCTCTGCTCCTCTATATAACTTCGTCTCAGGCTTCTTATCTACTTCTTCTCTCTGCAAGTTTCCACCCCATTTGTATCTTTCTTCTCAATCAATGAAAAGTTTTTAGGTGTTTTTATGTTCTAAGATTGTGTTTGTCGTGTGAGTTGTATGTGTTGTGCGTTCTAATACAAAAGTTGTAAGGTATCGTTTTGTCTTATTTAATTTTAGTTGAGTTTGTGTTTGTTAAAATTATTTTGAAAGGAAGACGAATAGTTTATATGCAATCTTAGTTTTCCTCAAAATTTTAGTTGCATTATTTTGGTATCAGAGATTAGGTTTTGTGTCTTCCTTTCTATTTCAAAAAAATTAAAAAAAAATTATGGACACTCATCAACAAACAGAGAATCCAAATCAAGTAGAAGTCAACTCTGAAATTGGTAAAAATCAACCAAGTGATCTTGAAGAACCTATTCCTAAGAGCCGATGGATCCCGCCACAAGGACGTTCTACCAATCCCATACATAACGAGTTGTACAAAATTCAATATCAAATGTACTTGTGTACAGAAAAATATGAAAAGAGAAAGCAAATTATTCAGGACCAGTTTAAGCAAGAAAAATAAATGATCCAGAGAAAATATGCAGCCTTAATTCAAAAATTGGATATGGCGCCTTCAACATGTTATGGAAGTTCTAAAGTCATCTCATCAGGAGATGAGAACTCTCAACCGAGGGAGATTTGTGCAAGCAAGGCTGTCCCGGTTCCCTTTTGCTGGTTGTTCAGTTCCTGCATGGCTTTCCTGGTTCCTTGCTTTGGGTTGTTCGGTTTCTGCTCCTTTTTGTCCCGGTTTCCCTTGCTTTGGGCTGTTCGGTTCCTGCTCCCTGTCCTCTGCCTGGGTCCCTCTGTTCTTGTTTCTATCCTGGTTCCTAGTTGTGGTGATTCGGTTTCTGGGAGCCTTAAATGCTGCCTTTTGGTTGATTGTATGGGCGGCTGAACATGGCTGTTGGCCTCCCTTGTCCATTATTTATAGGGACTGTTTAGGAGAGTTTTGAGGATGGATTATGGATGATTTTTGGAGCAAGAAACCCTGAGGGTTCTTCTTTGATAGCTTGCGAGCTATGTCCCCCTTTCTTTCTCCTCTCTATAATTTCGTCTCGGGCTTCTTATCTACTTCTTCTCTCCACAAGCTTCTACCCCATTTGTATCTTTCTTCTCAATCAATGAAAAGTTTTTAGGTATTTTTATGTTCTAAGATTGTGTTTGTCGTGTGAGTTGTATGTGTTGTCCATTCTAATATAAAAGTTGTAAGGTGTTGTTTTGTCTTATGGAATCCATATAAACTATTCGTCTTCCTTTCAAAATAACTTTAACAAACACAAACTCAACTAAAATTAAATAAGACAAAATGACACCTTACAATTTTTATATTAGAACGGACAACACATACAACTCACACGTCAAACACAATTCACTACCAGTTAAACAGAAAACTTCACTAGTGACAATGCACATATTATTTCACTACCAGCTTAACAGAAAACCTCACTCAACTTTAATATGGCCGATTTACTTCTAGCTTCCACCTTATGATGGACAGACATGCCTCACTGGACTCTAAATCGAATTCTTTTGAAGCAGAAGGGAACTGATGCAGCTTATCCTATTACCGCTCACCTATTCTTCATTAGCTATTTACTGTTTTTACATTTACTCACTAGTTACTCTTATTATCTTCTAATAATTTGCTATAGTTTTTGTCTGCTAGCGAGTAGTTAGAATGCACACATACACTTTCCCTTTTGTTGGTGCCAAAAGGGAGATTATCATTTTGTTCCTTTTCTGCGATTCTGTTATCAACGGTTACTTTTTCATGTTTGGGTTCATGTTCTACCTCCAACATCGATTTTCACCAAGCTTTGGGTAGACGAGTGTATACCTGACTCATCTGTTCCAGTCAATCTGTTTCCAATTTGTCCACATAAATTATGCTCTGCATAGTATTCTAGGATTATCATGCTCGTTCCTAAGACACTAATTAGTTTATCTCCGTAATAATAGCTTATGTTCTTTGTTAGAAATTCAGAGAATGCAGCGCCTTGCCCAAGATCATTCTCGTAGGATTTTTGAGGAGAATGAGAAGTTGACGATCGAGTTGGATTCTAAAAGGAATGAACTTGCAGCAAGATCCAAGCAACTTGATGAATTAGTTACTCAAAGTGATTCTGATAAGAGGAAACTTGAAGATGAGAAAAAGAAGGTAGGCATTCTTTTGTCGTTTTATTTCTTGTGATAACCACCAATATTTGAGGTGTAAATGAACCTCGATTAAATTCTGCATATGTTGTTATTTCTGCCTCATGCCTTAAAACACAACTTCTTTTAAAATTTTCATGTTTACTGATTCCATGTTTTTGGCGCTGCTATTTAGATGTGGAAACTACCGTTTGTTTCATCTGTGTCTATGAAACTTACTGGACACTAAAGATAGATTCTCATCTTTCAATGCAAATAGTAAGATTTTATTGATAATGAGACAAAAGTCCTGTACAAGAATACCCAAGCTAAGCTAAAATAGCAACGATACAAAAGATAATACAATAAACTCAATAAAGAGATATCCTAGTTCACAAAAATTCTATTGATAGATTCTCAACCTCCATCTCATACATGTCTTGACGCCAATCATCCTGAAAAGCACTCCATAATCCTAGTTACCCTAAGAAGCTGTCAACTTCTTAAATCAATATGGAGTCAATCTAAAGTCATAACTAATACCAATTTACTTATTAGGCTTACACTTCATTTGAACCACAAATAAAAACCTGGATAGAGAAGCACCTTGGCTATCTATATGATTGGTAAATACATCAAATTAAAAGTTATCATTAGGAAGATGTTCGTCCCCAAAGATTTTGTGCAAAATAGTGTGAGAACGAGGAATCAAACACTCTAGAATTGGGATAAGAAGAGTGATGCACTGAACGTAGCACACCCAAGCTTTTAGTATTCTCAATTTGACCCAATAACAGCCCATCAACGTTTCTCAAAACCTTAACTTCAGTCTTATTAGCATATTGATCTACATCTCCTAGAGGGCAATCCATAATAATAAATCAGGTAGAAGGCCCCAAGCCTACCAGGACAATCCAAAATAATAGCACCACCATTGAAAAATCATTAACCACTAAACCACAACTAACAATTTGAATAGTCTTGCAAATAGTGTGGTTTCTCCCTAGTAGGCTCAACAGAGATAGCATGAACAATGTAAGGTTTCTCTCTCCTCATGAACTATCTTTAATAATAACATCACCTAGAAGAGCAATTAAGACCAAAAATATGCTATTCATCATCTAGTTCACCAAGGTCAAGAAATATCAAAATCCTTATCCTCTACAAACCCACCAATGAGGTCCATAAAATAGCAACATAGTCCAACTTGACCCGACTGTCAATCTCCACAAAAGAAGAAACATGATTATTCATCCGAAGTGGTTTATAAAATTTTTTAAATTTTTGGATGAGGCCAAAACAATAAGAAACATCATGATTCAGAACTTTACAAATGAGGGTAAATTTCTGACATTACTTGTTGATGATAACTATTCTGCTCATTGGGAATCCAAATTATTTCTTTAGCTAGTTTTTGGGTAGCATCCATTTTCATTAAAGGACGAGCAACCCAAAAATAATAAGGTGCAGAGACTGTCATATTATCAATTCTTAAAGAGTATCAAAGATAAAAGTAACATGGGTCAATGTACTAAGAAAAGCGAGCGGAGGCCGGGGCCGAATTTTCGGAGCCCACACAAAGATAAAAGTAACATGGGTCAATGTACTACAATTAACAAAATTAAGTTTTAAATGGGAAAAGCCAACCCAAACTGGGGTATCTGTTGACTTCCTTTTAACATTAAAAATGGACCATTTAAGCAACCTCATAGAAAGACTATTGATATAATAAAAATCTAACATGAAAATAATCAAGGTTATTTGATTTTTTAACCTTAGCGAATAAGAATTTATCATGGATCCTAATTACCAATAGAAAAAATAACTTATGATTTTTAGATTATTAACAGACTCAAATATCTTCCATCAAGGGACAGTCAAATGAAAATTACCAAGAGGAAACTCAAAATGCTTAGCAAGAGGTTCTATCTTCTCATCAAAGCAAAATATTAGGAATAATTTTAAAATTAGAGACAATTTTGATACCATCACTGGGTAGAAAATGTATTTCATGACTTCAAGAGATAATGGAAGGATTATCCAGTGAGAGAATAAGCATGTGAAGTAATGGAATATGACAAGAAAACTTTTTGGAGATGCCTGCAAAGGATGCTAATGCATACCGACACTGATTGACCCTATGACCCGTTGACAACAAGCGATGATGTTCGGATTTATTGCAATTGTACACCCATGACTATATGTACAAGTAATCATTTGTTGGTGTATTGCAGGTTTCGTTCTAGTCGAGTTGAAGTAGAACTCTCTCCTCTCTCGGAATAGTCTATTCAAGGGACTCGCTCAGGAGCTAGGAAGGAGCTTAACACTATAGTATGGTGAACCAGCTTCGTCCACATCTTCAAGGCAATCAGCATCCCCGATGGGAGCGACCTCAGAAGTTTCTCTCTCAATCTGACAAATCTTTATCCGTCCTAGCCAGAGTCAATCTCCCATACATCAATAGTTAAGCTAACGGCACAAGTGTACCCACAAGATATCTTTTGCAATCGAATCAACCTCAAGACCACGTCAAGATGCTACTTGCCCCTCTCATCTCAATAGGGCGACCTTAGGCCGGTTTCCTGTTATACGTCGATCTAATCTCCAGATTACATCGGACGCTACTCACCTTTCTCACCTCAATAGGGTGACCTCATACTGGCTTCCTACCAACACCAACTCAATCTGCAAGCACGCCCTACTCACATCCTCTCTCACGAAGATCA